GACCTTGTCATATATAGGTTAAAAACAAATAAGCTTATAAGCTGCAATAGATCCTATATATCTTTAGGTTGAAGAACTACTTTGATAAGATCCACATTAGCTAACCTCCCGGTCTATTCCCTTTTAGTTTTCAAAATTCCAGCATTGGTTGCCCATGGGTTGTATAAAACAATAAGTGATGTCCTGTGTGAACTAGGGAAGAACAAAAAGGGTTACTTAATAAGTTGGGCTATAGTGTGTGAACACAGAAAAGTATTGGTTTGGGTGTCGGTAATTTGATGAAAATGAAGATGATTCTCATGGGCAAATGGCTTTGGAGGTTACCTTTGCCAATAACAAACTTGGGCACAAAGTAATTGGTAACATCTATGGTATTCATGCAAATGTCTTGGATGCTGGTTTAGCTACAAGAACAACGTGGGCTTCCCATGGAAGGCCATTGCAAGTTTGCTTTATTGTTGCTTGAGATTCATATGTCATGAGGTTTGGGAAGGTTACAACATGATAGTCCCTAATTTGGGTTATATCAGCCAGGAAAGCCATCTTCCTATTAAGACAGTTGATAGAAAAGTTTAGGGAGAAGAGGAGAAATCTTCATATGGTATTCATTGGTCTAGAGAGCGTATGATATCCCTAATGTGGTAACATGGTGGGATTTGGAAAGAAAAGGAGCCCAAATAAGCATTTGGATTTACTTAATAATATTTATGATGGTGCAAAAATCATTGTTATGACTCCTGTGGGAGAGACATCAGATTTACAGTTATAATGGGTCTTTGTCAAGGTTTTACACTTGGTCCCATGGTGCCTAATGTTTGCTGATATCATAGTATTAATTGATGTAATTAGTGAAGAATTGAATGCAAGAGTAGGTTTATGGACAAGTGCTTTAGAAACAAAAAGTTTCAAAATAAGTAGGACAAAAACAGAATATACGCAATGTAAATTTAATAACTGTAGGAGTGCAAACAAAGGTACAGTTAGGACTGGAGAGATTAAGGAGGATGTCACCCATAGAATAGGGCAGGATGGTAAAATGGAGGGGTGCATCTAGAGTCTTATGTGATCGGTGAATACCACTTTAGCTAAAAGTAAAATTCTACAAAACACTTTGTAAGTCCAGCTATGTTGAATGGAGCAGAGTGTTGGGCAGTTAAGAAACATGTCAAGAAAATCAGTGTGGTCACGTGCAGTGCCAAGCCTGGAATTTTTTGGGCTGGGCAGGGCTAGGCTGAAAATGATCATCCAATGCTAAACTGAGAGAAAGTAGATTGAGATGGTTTGGTCACGTGCATGGAAGGTCTTCTACAATACCTGTTAGAAAAAGTGATTTTTTACAATTTGAAGGGTCTCAGAGAGCTAAGGGAAGACTGAAAAGGACTTGGGTGGAAGTACTAAGAAATGATTTTAAGCACCAAAACAAAGAAAAGTTTTGGTGAATTATTAAGAATAGATTTTTGGATTGAATCTTTATTCTTCCAGAATTTTTTGGGTGTATCAAGAGTTTCATTTGGGATTGGATTTTGGTCCTCTTTGGTGTTGGATGTGGGGGTTTGATGTATTATATGTGTTTTTTTTTATACTTTTTTCTCCTTTGTTTGGGTGATTGTGCTTTGTTACCTTTTAATGAATTTTAATTTTTTTTGCCTAAAAAAACTAGGGTTATGATGGGACAAGGCTTAGATGATGATGATGAACTTCTAGGAGGATCTTTGGTGGGGTGATTGTCCTCTTAAGAATAAATATCCTGACCTCTATACCATCTCTTGCCTGAAAAACAAACCCATTTCCTACTGTTTCTCCCTTTCCCCTTTTGTGCTAGATTGGAACTTGGGCTTTAGGTGGGGCCTAAGGGATTTTGAGATCCCTTCATCAATTAGTTTGGTTCATTATTTGTAGGAGGTTTGTGTCAACCTTGCTATTTTGGATGAGAGGATTTGGACTCCTTGTGCTTCTAGTTCAATTCTCTTGTGCTTCCTAATTTGAGTCCTTCATCTCTTCACCCCCTTCTGATACAAGTGCCAATAATTTAACGGATATGACATTGCATAGACTGGAATTATCGCAAAACAGGATTCATGTAGCCAGCCTTATATAGTTGCAATTGCATGACCTTCTTCATCCCTACAGACACCACCCACCCTTAAGACCTTGGATTCGCAAGGCTGCTACCATTAAAATTTAGTTTTATGAAATCTTCTTTGGTGATGTCCATTCCCTATGAGTCAATTTTTTTTTTCTTTTTTTTAACGAGGTTCTTGCCGCCTTCCTCCATTAACAATATCATCTGTTGAGAAAGGTGAAAAGTTGTCCAATGCTTTAATCCTATGAAGGATTAAAATATCGATGTGCCCGATGCCAAACATGGGGTATTGGTCTTTTTGTTTTTTTTTTTTTAATTTATAATAGTAGGGGGTTGGGGAAGAGGTCTGAGACATTTTAAATATTTCAAAAACTCATGTATCAGTGTGTCTAAGCATATCTAGGTACACCAATACTAATATGATACACCCCGTATTTGGCATATTGTATCAATATTTTAGTTCTTGAATCCAATCCTGCCTAGCTGTGATATGCTCAATTATTGCCTCCTTCCTTCTCTCTTCCACCTTGAATATTCTTGCATTTCTCTTTTCCCATATTTTGTCCAAATAGTTGCTGCTTTTGTGCACCTCCACATGATTCTTCCTCTTTTGTTTGGCAAAGTGAATATTGAAGAAGATAATAAGCTAAGCTACATTTGGAGTGCTTCATTTGCACCCAAACAAAGAAAAACCATTAGAATTAGAAGCAAGGGAAGGGACTAAAGTTCTTTCCCTACCCTTAGTATAGGATTCATTCTTTGACTGTCTCATACTACCTTTACTTCATCAGTGGCTTGAGATGAGTCTTTCTGATCTTGAGATGATTTTCTGGTTTTATTGATCCCTTAATATTGACTGTTACCTTTAGTAGCTGGTCATCCCTTCTATCCTGCAATGACAAGAAGAAGATTGGACTTGCGGGTATTGCATAATAACCCAAATCCAGTTGAGCCCCTTGGATATCTTCCTTTTTATGGCCAACTCCACTAAGACATATCTTTGAAGCAATGCCCTCTTGCCTAATAAATGTCCTTTCCCTCGACCCTATTATAGAATGAGTTTATTTCTTGCCCATAATGATACCCATTACCCACCTCCTGGAGAAGCATCAACAATTCCTCTGCCCCATTCTAGTCCATTTTTTTAGGACATCTTGCTAGAGCCACTGATAACCTTTTTTTGTTAACTCCTCTATTATAGCTAACAGAATCCTTGGGAGAAACAACTTCCATGCATTGTACTTTTAAACTTTAGATACCCATAATGCTCTGATTGGTAGCCAACTGATCATCTTCAACTTCCAACTATCTTACCTGTTCATCTTTTCCATCATTATTTTCGTTGGATTGTTCCACCACAAGATCTTTGCATTCAAGCAGCATTCTTAGTTCATATTTCTCCCCTGCAAGCAACAAATTGTCATCAAGTGGAATTAAAATCATGTTAGATATCTCTACAAGTATCCTTGCATGCCTATTGAATTTTCAATTGATATTTCTTGTGTCAACTTCTATGAAGCAGCCACATGCATCTTTTATTACTAGAAAATTTGGATACACCATGTATGAAGGGGAATACATACAATGATAATCAAAACCATTCTTGTGAACTTATCATTTCTAATGCAGTTAGCCAATGTAGACCATCAATCAGTCTGAAACTCCAGGGAGTGTTGATGCGACCATTCCCAATTGTGGACAGATAAAGCATCCTCTTTGCTCTGTAGGCAGAACAAATAGTCCCCTCAAGTTGGTTCCACTTCAATAAGGGAAACCCAGTGCATGAGGTTCCCAAGGGGCAGATGTATGCAGCCTTACCCCTACACATACAGAGAGTGGGCTATTGCTTCAACCTCAAATCAGTCTGAAACTCCAGAGTGTTGATGGGATCATTCCCAATTGTAGACAGATCAAAGCATCCTCTTTGATCTGTAGGCAGAACAAATGGTCCCCTCAAATTGTTTCCACCTCAATATGACACCTAAATACCATTCTTGGGGAATCCATTCTGCAACGAACTCTACTTTTGGATCAAATCTAAGAATCTTCCAATTAGACATATTTCCAGCTCTAAATCATTCCAAAATCTCCCAATCCCCTTAAATTCAAAGAATGGAAAACTACTCGGTAGGAATTTTCACTACATTGATAGTGGTTTTCATTGGCATGAAAATGTAGGGTCCTACCTAATCCCCTTAAATTGTAAATTAATGCTGGCACATTCTTAATTGATAGCCTAGCCTTATTCTACATTTTTTTGGTGAATAACAATAGGATTTATACACAATAAGGACTCCTGTTTAGTCTGGCATATCGACCTAACCCGACATTTTATTTTCCTTTTCTATGGTGTATCCTTCTTTGCTCAATTCTTTGTAAATTGATTACAAAGAATCTTGACCACCAAGGAAGAATAACCCCAAAGACTTTGTTGCTTGTGTCGGAAAGAGCAGAAAGAAAACCAGCTTTAACCAATTATACCCAAGATCCCAATGAGATTGTGTTTTTAAACTATTGGAAATTTCTCATATCTGTAAAACTGATGTGAACACATTCAAGGCTTTAGAATCGAATCTGAGAAGTTTGAATTCATGTCAGAACAGATCACCAATGCTTGCTCTTTAATGGAGATAATAATGCTCCCTTCGGTCTTTTTCTCCAAAACAATGGCCTAATTGTAGCCTAGTTAAAGCAACACAATTTACACTTAGGAGCTCCAGAAATGATTTGGGGATAAAAGTTTAGAAAAGATTATTTGTAGCTTCAATTTGCTCATTTTGATCTATAAAAATTCAGAAAACTCACTCAAACCTTGGGACTGTATATCTTCTGCTTTTTTAATGTTTTGGATTATAGACCATATCAAAATTCTTTTATATTCCAGGTAAGGCTCTTTTGACTATAATTGCAATTTCAGGAAGAGGCTCTTCCAAATGATGAATGACCTGCCAACGATATTTGAAGTTGTGACCGGGGTTGCCAAGAAGCAACCAAGAGAAAAATCGGCTGCCACCCCCAACAGCAGTAGCAAAAATAAATCTGTTGGGAAGATGGTAGGATCAATTTCCGTCCTTTTTTTTTTTAAGATGTTAAATTTCAGCTGCCTGTATATAAGGTGCCTCACCTTTCTTATATTTGGCTGTTTTTTCCAGCAACCCCGGCAATCTGAATCACAGTCAAAAGTTTCGAAGATGCCTCCAGCCCCAAAAGATGAGGATGAAAGCGGTGAAGAAGAGGATGATGAACAAGGGGCTACACTCTGTGGAGCCTGTGGGGACAACTATGCCAATGATGAATTCTGGATCTGCTGTGACGTGTGCGAGAGATGGTTTCATGGAAAATGTGTGAAGATCACTCCTGCAAGGGCTGAACATATCAAGCAATATAAGTGCCCAGCTTGCAGCAACAAGAGGGCAAGAGCCTAAAATGTAGGACTCAAACATTTAGGAACATCAATGATCAAACAAGACAAGAATACGTCCAAAAGTTTGGGGGATGGTATCAAAGTGGAAGCAAGTCAAATGACTAATAGAATTAATGAATTGACCAGTGGGTCGTAAGCCGTTGGGATTTCAGTTTTGAGACCTAGTTTTCTTTCATGTTTGGGTCCAATATTCTTGGGAAGCATGTTGGTGTTTGTTAAGTGTCAACAGCAACTAGATTTAATATCGTTATAGGTGCTTTCAGTAATCAGTACTTTTCTTGGCATTCTCTCCTAAATCCTAATACATATTTCCCATTTCCCTAGTACTAGTTTGTTTGTCTAAGCATTCTGATTTTACAGGTATTAAACCAAAAGTTGCTCATTAGATGGGTTGTTAGTTCAGCATTTAAGCTATTCGGTAGTGTTGGAGGTCGTTCCACTATTTCTAATCGTCTTAGGTGGTCTTTCAAACCTAGCCAAGGGCCAACTATGTTGTCTTGGCTGTTAGTGAATTTGGGGCCTTGAGAATGTCTTGCGGTTGCTACGTGTTGTGTTTGGTATCAATGACGTGAATCAATTAAATTGGCGAGAGATGTTTTGTTAACAGTTGATATTCATTCTATTCAGGGTTTGTATAATACCATTCTATCGTTATTACAAACCTATTATTATTGTTTAGAACTGAGAATGTCTCAGATTCTTTGTCACAATCGATGCTTGAACCACCAGCTGCCATTTTTTTTTTGGGGGGCGGGGGGGTTAGATTATCATATCTATCTATGCTTTTAATCCTTGAGTCTTTTTGTTGGTTATTATGGTCTATCCTTGTATTATGATCTGATCAGGAACTTTGTTTTATGTTCCAAGTGTTTCACCAATCTTGTACCAGAAAAGAAATTGGTAAACAATCACTTTTTCGGGCAGCATAGAATTAGAAAATTATCTCTGTTTCCACTCTTTTGTTTCAAAACAAAAACAACCCAAGGGTACATTAGTCCTTTGCCAACCTCTGTTCAAATGGTCTTGATTTCAGTCTAGCGCATAATTGGATTGAATGTTTTTAGTTTTTCAAGAAAAGCCTAGGTATTTGACTTCAATGTTACAGCTCTAGGCTAGAACTGTGGGTAGCTGGATTCGGACTGCTTGTCCTGATATCAAAGCATAAGATGGATTTATGTTGGAAAGATGTTTCTTTCGATTTTTTTTGTTAATTTATAAAAACAATAAAGTAAAAAAAAAACAGACTAGTTATCATAATAATTAAAATTTATGAATTGCCTATTATGTATCTTAAAGATTCTAGTGGATCCCATATATTTTAATTAAGATTATATATTTCTCTAAGATATTTATTAGTGATTTAATTTACACTAAATAACATTCTCAAAAACAATTTACAGTAAATAACAATGTATTCATTACTTATGGAAATAAAAATATTATTTTACAAAGTTTACTTTACTTGCATTAATAATTTTTAAGGCACGAGTCACATGACTCGATTAAATAAATAAAAATGAAGGCATAGCATGACTTACCAGATTGCTATTAATATATGTGAACATATGCAAATAAAAATAATCTTAGGGTCCATTTGGTTTGCTGGTGGAATTGGAATGGTCTACTCAGTTTTTTCCTATAGTCTTTTGACAGTATTTCATGAAATTCTGAATTGATTTGGGCATTGTTTTAAAGGTTTTAGCATATTTTGACAATAATTTTATTACAACTTTTCCATATTATTGTTTTAAAGGTTTTAGCATATTTGATGAATTTTCTTTTGTTATGTGCATATTTAGCTTTTTGGTGGGCCCAACTCTATATATACAATTTAGTTTTTCCATCCCATATCTATCGTTGGGTCCAATTAGTAATCAACCCATTTTGTATGTTTTTTGATTTGCATATATTGTTACACAATGTTGTTTTGACCCATTTACTTTTATTAAAGACTTTGTTGGGCCCATTCTGCTGGGCATAAATGGACCCTAAGTTGTTGCTTGGACCCTTGAATTAGAATCTCATTCATTAATATTTTGAATCAGAATTGTTTTGCAGTTTGAATCATGTACGGTCTGATTCATTGTTGAGTATCCACAACATCTTAAGTGATGACAACATAATTTTCGTAAATGAAATTTAAGGTTATGATTTAGTTATGGAGTGTGATAACCTGGCCTAGGGAGTATACCATATTTCATAGCTCAATCGGGATGTGACAGTGAACTTGTTATTAAATTGGATATGTTTCTAAATGCCCACGAATATAAAATTTTCTTTTACTTAATATCATGAATTTATTGGTCTCATTATGAAAGTTAGGGTCATTTACTAAAATACCCCCGATAGTTTCATGAATTTACTAAAACCTATCCTATAATTTGTATTTTACTAAAACATCTTCTTTATTTTATAATCTATTTACTTAATCGGCCTTCCATTAGATGAAAGTGGAAAATGACAGTTTGAACCCTAACAGCCATTCAAATAAATTTGATCAAAATAAACTAAAAACAAAAATGCCATTTTTGCACCCAGTAAAACATTGACAAACCACTCTATTTTCTCTATTTGGTCAATTTTGTTTTCTATGCAAATAAGTGTTAGGGGTACTTTTAAAATAAACAACCGTAGATCCATACCCTTGAACATTTTCCACTCAGTTTAGGGGTAATAAACAACCATGGGTCCATGCCTTTAAACATTTTTCACTTAATTTAAGTGATCATGTTACTATTTTCAGATGACAAAACAAAGAGTTCTTAATGAAAGGTCAACTAGGTAAATAGGTTGCAAAATATAAGGGGTGGTCTAGTAAATCTATGAAATTATAGGGGGTGGTCTAGTAAATGGCCCCAAAAGTTATTGAGCAAAATAATAATGTGTTGCAACCTTGGCCCACAGGAAAGTTATAATGACACTATAACTTGCATCTAGAATTATTAACATTGGTACATATTCTAATCTCTATATTATTATGGTAATGTTTCAATTCATAGCCTTTAATACTACTACTGGTGCACTCATTTGCATCCCAATTTGAATGACAATAACATTCCAAAATGGAAAGAGGAAGTTGTGTTAGCATTAGGGTGGACTGGATAGAGGGCATTGTGTTCCGTGTAGACAAATGACAAATAATGAATCGTCCCTTTAGGCTATGTTTGGTTTGTAAAGGTTTCCCTACCTTTTCTTCCTTTCCCTACTTTTTCCTTCAAACCAAACACAGCCTTACATTCTAGTACAAGTCAAGAAAATGAACTATATGAGAAGTGAGGAGCATGCAAACTGTTTAAGTTTAATGATCAAGGGACTCGTATAGCAAAGCACATTTGGGATTTCATCCTTGAGTGTTCTAAATTTAAATTCTTAAATTCCGTTGATGATCAATTGTAAGCTCAAAAAAGGTATTGTCCAGCACTCTAATAAACAAGCTACTCTCAATGAAATATATTTGGAATAGAGGTATGTACGAGCACAATATGGAAATAAGAGGTTTGGCATTCAATTGAAATCCCTAGAGGTCAAGATATTAGAAAATTTCCTTACCTATTTCACACTCAACTCGTTGCCTATTGAATTTGGGCCATTCAAGATTAATTTCCTACAACACATATGAGGCTCAAAATGGCTAGTTAATGAAGTATTGACCATGTGTGTTCAAGAGAAAGGGAACTTGAAGCAAGAGAAACTAGAAAGTGTTGTTCTATTATTAACTCATATAAAGGGACTCAAAAGGAAGTGATGACGGGAGATTTGACCCGACCTCGTAGCCTAGGGACACGTGTATGTGACCTGGCCCAAAGAACAGCTCAACCTGACAGCACGACCGCAACTCGACGGGAGAGATACGCCGAGTCCAACGCTGACCACTCGGCAAGTTAAGCAACTCGCCGGGGACTGACACTTGGCCCATTCCAACCCCCACCAAGTGTGGAAGGGGCCCGAGCTTCCCATAAGGGGCCTGGAGCTCTCCCTTCCCAAGGAGGGAGCACCCCGGTTTTTAGCCAAGTGCCCTGAGGAAGGAGAACCTCGGGGCAGCACCTCGGTTTTTAGCCAAGTGCTCTGATCCCTTGCCAGGCAGCTTTCCGCCTGCCAGGCGGCGTTCTATTTGCCGCCTCTGGGAAGCATGACACGTCTGTCAAGCCCGTACCTGGCGATGGCAATGTGTGGCGGCAACTTGCGCGTGCCATGCCTGTCCTAGCAGTAACGGCTAGCGCGGTGGCGGTTATGCCAGGTATGACTGGACTCCAACATAAAAGAACTCCAACTCCCACAAGGAAAAGGTATTGAAGCTTAAGCACTTTCAGCACTCTTACTCTCTACTCTCTCTTTGAGATTTTCTCCAAATCTAACTTAGCTGTCGGAGTGTTCCCACCGGGATATCTCCCCGAGAACCCTTCACTTTCTCCTTCCTCTTAGGTGCCGTTCGTTCCAGTCAGAAGCCTGGTCACAACCAGCTAGGAGTGCCCAGATCGTGCAGCATCATTTGGCGCCGTTTGTGGGAAACGCTTCGAAAAGCCTCCCTTTAATCTCTGTGAAACTTCCTTCTTTCATTCATCAGCACCACCGACACCCATGGCTTCTTCTAGCAACTCCGAACGCCGGAACACCCCAGAGTGGCAATTCCAACTACCTATCGTTTGCATCGGGCAGTTCACTGTCCCCCTCTCTGCGGACGGGGTTCCTAGCCTGAACGTGCTTGCAACGGTGGCACCCGTAATTGTCCCACTGCCCCCTGCAGTCGGGACGACCTCCGCCGAACCCACCATTCTCCCTCCGGTGGCCGGCCAAGGCCAACTTGAAGACTTGATGCAGTGCATGCAGGCCATGCAGGCCCAGATGCAGCAACTTCAACAACTCCAGTTCCACCAGCAGCAAGTGCTGCACCAATTATCCCAATACCAATACCAGCAACGGTTCCCTTCACTCCCCCCTAACATCCGGCGGCGTAGCTAGCTAAGCCTCAGTGCCACAGTGAACTCCCTTCCCACCGGGGAGAGACTTCATCATCGTCTCATGGAAGGAAGGGAAGACTCCCTACCCCCGTCGTACTGCCCGCGGTCAAGTCGGGGGCTTCCCAGCCGGTTAGGTCGGCATCACCCCAGCACTCGCAATTCAAGCCTCTACTTGCGGAGAACAGGGTCGAGGTGCTACCCGACGACCTGGAACAAGGTCCTTCTGTCCGCAGCTACCGGCAGCCATCCCTGCCTCCCCCTGGGCCCATCGAGCTCAGCAATACAGAAGCCAGTAGCACCAACGCCGAGCCGGCCAAGAAGCAGCGAAGACGTCGCCAGTCTCGTCGAACTACCACCGTCCACAACCTGCCCGAGCTCAAGGGTAAAATAGAAATAAGCTCGGGAGAGGTAAGAGCTGCACCACTTCTCTCGGTCCCCTCTCCT